GGGCAAGTGCCCCCGGGCCACTCTGGTAGCCTAGTTTTTTTCCCTTTTCTTTTGTTCCCACTCTTTACCTTTCTTTTTTTTTCTCTTTGTTCTTCTCTTTTATTTTCTAACTCTTTTTTTTTCCCTTCTAAAAAGAAAAATAGACCATTTCTCAATTTAGGTGTTACATCCTTGCGCAGTAGTCTATAAAAAGAAAAATGGACCATTTCTGCTCGCAAAGGCCCTTGCCAACCGACTGATCCCAGTCGTAGACGATATCATCCATCAACCGACTGATCCCAGTCATAGACGATATCATCCATCAACCGACTGATCCCAGTCATAGACGATATCATCCATCAACCGACTGATCCCAGTCATAGACGATATCATCCATCCCACGCTAACGGGTTTAATAAAAGGGAGTGGTGGAGGATCTCATCCATCCCACACTAACGGGTTTTATTGAACGGAGGAGAATACAAGATATCATCCTTTTCTAACTCCTTTTTTTTTTTCTCTATCTCGATTTATGCTTGTTATCCTTGCGCAGGGCCCAGTCTTTTTCTTTTTTCCCTTTTTGTTCCGACTCTTTTCCTTTCTCGGCACTACCTGTATTAACAACCCCTCTGTCTTCTTTTCCCTCTCATCTTTCCGCTCCCCCTCTCCTCCCTCTCATCTTTTTTTTTTTTCATTCTTCCCGAGTCCTCTTTTCTTTTTCTTTCTTTTTTCCCGCCTTTTTTCTCTTTTTTACTCCATTTCTTTTCTTTTTTTTTTCTCTTTTCCTTTTCTGACTCTTTTTTATCTTTCTTTTTTTTGACTTCTTTTTTTTGACTCACTGATTGATGCAGTAGTTTCTAATCCTCGATAAGGTACGCTTGTTACACGGAATGCATTCGTGTGCTATTTTATTATTATAAGGTCGTTTTATATTTTACAATTAAGATCGGAGATCTGACCTGATTGATGATTAGCATATCGATCAACAACAACTTCGTGGTCTATTTGTCGATCCCCCACCAGCTTTCATGCACATTCCTCCTAATTTATTATTCACTTCTAAAATGATTGATGATTAGCGCATCGATCATCATTCGTCCTCGTTTGCCACAGCCGTTTTGTTCACTTAAACTGATTTATGATTAGTCCATCGATGAACAACTTGCTTCATAGCTTGATTCCACAACCACGTTTCAGACAATGACTTCTGCACACCAAGCTACTTGAGTCCTCTTCGACTATCACAGTTTGTCTGTCAGTCGCTTTTTCTTCCCCGTCGGGATCCCCTCACCCCAACCGCTCTCTCGAACGTCATTATCGCATCGACGGATCAGATTCACTCATTCGACCAGCAGATTCCTTTGATTACATTTCATTCCTTCGACCAGATTTACTCGTTGCATTAGATTCACTTATTCTACTACATTCCCTCATTCGATCACATTCATTCAAGATGATATTTCGTTCCTTGGACCAGATCCACTCATTGCATTAGATTCACTCATTCGACTAGATTCACTCGTTCGATCACATTGCTAATTACTACATTCCGTCACTAATGGCTTTTGATTCATTAATTACTCCTTGCTCGTTCAGCTCACACTGCTCGGCATTCAATTCTCATTCGTTCACGCACTTCCGATTCATTCACATTGCTTGGCATATATTTGGCATTTTCACCAAATGCGCCTTCTATGATTAAGGGGAGGGGGGGAGAGAGAGAGAGAGAGAGAGAGAAAAAAACACGTTTCATATCGGGGGGCGACACTTGGCAGACGGGCGGATTACATCTTGACTGTGTAGACATCGACGCGTGGAAGAGAGAGCCAGAGGGAGAGAGAGAAAGAGAGAGAGACAGGGAGGGACCCAACTGGCGCTCATCGCTAACGCAAAAAAGACAACATATTACTTGGCTGTGTGGACTTCGACGAGGGGAAGAGAGAGCCAGAGGGAGAGAAAAAGAGAGAGAGAGAGAGAGAGAGAGAGACTACTCCACTCGGTCCTCAGAAACTGGTTATTAGATAATTGGTAACTGGCACGGTGGCTTCCAATGTGACTAACAATTGCCTGCAAGTTTCTCTTTCTGCACATTCTCTCTCCCTCTCGTCAGATCGATAAAGAACCACAATCCCACACGATGCAATAAATAGGTTTTTCGGAAAAAAGGACAAAAAAAGAACTACCTTCGTCAGAACACGTGCTTCATTGGAAGACTTCAATGGCAGATGGGACAGAAGACGGTGTCCAGAAAAACCGGGAATTCAGTCATACATAGTGCCTCGCTCCACTACTCTCGACATGCACAAAAGACCGAAATCATGGCGATGTATCTTTCCATGTTCTAACGGAAGATTCACTTTCGTTTTGCACATTCCGAGAGTACTCTCCACATGCACAGAAAACAAAAACTACGGGGGTGTATCTTCCCATGTTCTAGCGGAAGATTCGTTCTCATTTTGCACATTCAGTGAGTAGTGGAGCTAGGCCCATACTCCTTAGAGCGTTTAACTTTGACGTTCCTGGCCGCAATCTCGGCGCTTTTTCAAAACCCGAAATCGTCAGGTCCTACTGGCGAGAACCCAGTAAACCCTGACACCGAAATCGAATCAAAAAAAGCCCAAATTGTCGTCAGGTCCTACTGGCGAGAACCCAGTAAACCCTGACACCGAAATCGAATAAAAAAAAGCCCAAATTGCGGCCAGGAATGTCTACGTTAAGTAAACGCCCAAAGGAATAAAATAAGAAATGCAAGCTGCACACAATCAGCCATGGCGGCCTTGCGTTCGTTCCTACTCCTATGGGCCCTATAGTTGTCAAACGCCAGCAAAGCCCGAACTATAGCAATATTTCCGAGTTACATTCCCGAAAGGAAGAGAGGGAGGACGGAGGGAGGAGGGAGGTAAGGAGCGGGGAGGAGAGGGAGGGAAGGAGGGAGTGTGAGTGAGGAGCATCTTCAAGCAGTCCATCGATTGACGGATAGATTTACGACAGACGGGTGAGTTCAACGAGATAAATTCATCCATGAGCTGCTTCTTCCGTGATTGACACTCCTAAAGACGAAAAACCCTCGCTCCATCCCCTCCCTCCCCTCCCTCCCTCCCCTCCATCCGCTTATTCATCCATCCACCTATCCAGATCCCGCACATGTGTATCTATGGTCTATCACCCAATAGATGAGCGCGAGAATCGCATATAGCATTCGGTACAGTTGTTCGGAAGGGGCATTTAGGGAAGACAGAAAAGATGCGCAGGGGCATTGACGGAGGAAGTCGGTCATCGATAAAGATGGATGCTCGCTGCATTCTCCATGTAGAACTGTCCATTTGTGGACATATTTGAATGTTTTGTATATGTATATATACGTATTATCAAACAAAACTGCCTGGTAAACTGTAGGCAGAGAGGGGGAAGAGGACAACAAACGAGGGCCTGTGACAGACGGTTCACCAACTCATCAGGAGGCTGAACCCTCGACATACACACATATATAGGCAGTTCTCTATGACTATCTATACATATATAGATTAAAAAAACGAATTCATTTTTTCTGTTTTTTCGTTTTTGCGCTCTGATATTCATGTGACGATATGTACATATATGTATATTGTCACTGCGAATCGGAGCGCAAAGGCGGAAAAATACTAAACAAAAAAAGGAAAGAAGTAAGGAGGGAAAGCTCCGCCTGTTCATCACCTCTTACGTACAGATCTGCCACGTGGATGACATCGTCAAACAGATCTGCCCGGTAAACCGTAGGCAGAGAGGGAGAAGAGGACAACAAACGAGGGGCCGTGACAGACTGTTTCGTTGGACCTTCACCAGCTCATCAGGAGCCCGGTAAACCGTAGGCAGAGAGGGAGGGAGAAGACGACAAGAAACGAGGGGCTGTGAGTTTACATATATATCGTCAAACAAAAAACTGCCCGGTAAACCGTAGGCAGAGAGCAAGAAAGGACAACGAACGATGGGATGTGACACTGTTCCGTCGGAGTTTTCACCCCCTCAGGAGGCTGAACCCTCCCTCTACATACAGTCTGCAGAGCCCCCTATTCAGTGGATGATACTGAAAGTGATAGTCCACCTTAACCCCAGTTATGGTTATGCATCAACGACTGCCGGACAACTGATACCCCTTTGAGTAGGTGGGGACCACCACCAACCACTGCCCTCAAGGTACCTGAGACGAAAATCAAAGCAGACCATCGCTCACCCACACCAGACGGAAAACTCGACGGATTGCATCTATTATATCGTTATAGAGAGCTGCCCGGTGAATCGTTGTGACTCACTGTAACCGGAGGGAGCCTACCTTGCTTACTCCGGGACAACTCATCCATCACGTGCTATGTCCAATGGCATGCACTCGTGGCACCTCAGATCAGTTCGTCAGATAGTAAACAACACAGAGGTTGGCCAACCTACACATTAAATAAACGACTGACCATCGCTCAGGTACCTTGAGGGCAGTGGTTGGTGGTGGTCCCCACTTAAAAAACAAAAAATACAGGCCAGTCACTCGACGAAGTGAGCGGAGTCGTGTCGTACGAGGTATACTGGTTATCTGGGCGGGGTCGCGACCTACAGGCTGAGCGGGGTCGCGGCCTACTGCCTGAGGGGGGCCGTCGACAAAATACTAGTACATAAATAAAAGACTGGTTTAGGTATTTGTGTGCTACAGTATTTTTTTTGCTCCATCGACTGAAATGTGTCCATTCGATCGATTTCCACCTGTCCGTCCCATCAGTTTTACCAATTTGTAAGTTTTCTAGACAGTTTCTGATCGAGTACGAATCAACTAATAAACTGCATTGCTTAGTCATTTGATTAGATAGCAAACGAATCACTAAGCATTAATAACAAATCAATGCCGAAATGATTGCGGAACTAATCAATATGCCGAAATGATTGTGGAACTAATCAATATGCCGAAATGATTCCAGAACAACTACACGGTGCCTCAACTTTACATTTCTGAAGTCATCAATCAACAAACCACTTATCAATCTCAATCACCCCATCGGCCAACTAATACTCGTTTATCTGATCAAGCGATCATCCACAATCACACTCACCCCATCAGCCAACTATTACAATGTACACCAAAAAATGGCGGCAATATGTAAGACCCATGCACTCTCATCAACTACATAATTACCATCATCATCATCATCATCATCATCATCATCATTATTCTGCATCAGCGTTATCATCATCATCATCATCATCATGATCACACGACTTCATGCATACAATGACCAGCGTGCCTGTGAGATGCCATCATCATCAATTATCATCTCTTCCTCCATCTCACTCCAGCACATCCACATGTCCTTGTGAGAGTTAAACCTGTGCTGTCCATATCCCCATACCTGTTTTTCGCGAGGATGAAGCCCGTGCCAGCCTTTGGCACTACCACCGTCTTCGCAGTAGAAGCAGCACCAGGAAGACCCGTCGCGCTGCCACTGCCTCCTCCCCCACTTGCGCCTCCATTTCCTGTCGACTGCCTCGTGTTCCCTACGTCCACTGAGGGTGTCAGATCATCGCTGCCACCGCCTCCTTCTCCTCCTCCCGCTCCTTTTCTCAGTGACGTCTGCTCTACCTCCCCCGCTCGAAACGACAACGCTCCACTCCCTCCTCCCCCTAGCCTACCCTTTTGCACGTCTCCGCTCCGCCCCGAAGAGGGCCGATTGTCTATTCCAACCCCTCTTCCCTCCTCACCCTTCATCTCCCGCCCTGCGCCGCTTCTTTGCTGCCGCTGGTGCTGCTGTGCTGCTGCACCCTGTTCGCCCGCTTTAGTGCACATTCTCATCTTCTCCTCCTCTTCCTCCTCCTCCTCCTCCTCGTACTCCTCTTCCTGCTGCTCTTGCTTTCGCATGGCTGCATCTTGATTCCGCTTCTGCTCTTGCTCCCTCTGCTGTTGCTTCAGAAACTCTTCCATGAAACTCCCGTCATTTGCGAATTTCAGTAATTGCGCTCCATAGGCCGTCAGGTTACTCACTTCCCCTCCAGGGCGGCGCGCCCCGCTGCCATACGGGCGTCTCCGCGAAGGCCGCCGCCTTCTGCTCGACCCGTTCGCGCGTACCCCTCTCTCCATCATGCCTTTTCCTCTCTCACTAAGCGCGCGCAGAGACAGACAAGAAACGAGGAATGCTGCCAAGGTGCGGTGGAAAGCAGAGGCAGTATCAATCGGAGACGCCACGAGAAAGAGAGAGAGAGAGAGAGAGAAGTGCCGGGGATGATACTGTATATCACCAATCAAAGATGCGCATGCTATCCCTAGCCAATCACCTTTACAAGTCTCAGGACGGCAGGGGAGGCATATCGAAGGATGGACAGATAGTAGAGGACGAGACAAACCACTTGAATCAATCGCCCGAATTTTATATACATGTACACATATTCACCAATGACATATATGATCTATGTATATATGTAGATATACTAAAAGAAAGTAACGAGGGTGACAGCTCAAAGACAGAAAGAAAGAGAGAGAGAGGAGCGGGGGAGACAGATATGAGGGCAAGGGGAGAAGCTTATTCACAAATGGAAGGAAAAGAAGACCGCTTGAATAAGGTGTAAGCGACGAAAGAAGAGAATACGACGAGAGCCCCTGACCGGGCGAAGGGCGCACGTTTATGCAGGCAGGCAGGCAGGTATTCAATCTATCTGGGAAGAAGAACGGTATTCAATCCGTGATTGCTTGCTTGCTTGATTGATTGAGGAGGACAGAGGAGAAGAATATCTTTCTCTCCGCAAAGAGTTCCTCAAGATCGCGGAGCTCGACGTCTAACAGTGGAATCACACTGCACTATCACTATCAAATCTTTTGGTTGACGGTTGAATTAATTATTGGGGGGGGGGACTAAATGCGCTATAGATGAAGACCAGCGCGCCGAGCATCAACTTGTTAATTGCTCCCTCCTCATCCAGCTGTCGATCAGAAAGGCAACCAACGAAGAGCAATCTTCGGAGGAGAAGTCTAGGGACGATGAAGCAATGGTCCGCCGCCATCGCCGCACCCATCGAGTCTCTCCATCGCTGGATTCCATTCGGTCAAACGGGTCCAAACCAAGCGCAAGCAGGCCCTCCAGGGCCCGCGCACATACTCGTCTTGATGATTAATTACTAATTAGACTGCTACTATACTAGGTAAGATTGGCTAATCAGAGCCGACGAGCTTCGGTACAGACACGGAAACGTGCTTACATAGTGAGAGTCAACCTCAGCCGACTGTCTGATGTGGGCCGTCAGGTCGTCAGAAAACCGCCATAGCCAAGCCAACGTGGCAACGAGACGTAACAGTACGCGGCTTGGCCGCGAGAGAAGACACCATGCTAATCCATCCAGAGAGAGCTGAGTTCGTAATGACCTAACATAAGCTCAGGGGCGATTGTCAAGATCTGCCTAGAATCGCTATTTATGGGGTGGAGTTGCGCCCCTCTCGAACGAGTCTGTCTGCAAAGAGAGAGGAAAACACAGGTGAGAGGGCGCCACGTGGGGAAGGGAAAGAGCGGGGAAGAAGAAGGGGGCGAAGGGCGCGCACACCCAACTGTAAAAAACGTTTTTTTTTCGCCTGAATTTAGCTTTCCGGCACCATAGAAAATGCCGCCCGCCAACGACACCGCCTGCCTTCCATCTGTGTATTGGCGCGCGCGCGCATCCCTCGCGCTCCTTGAGCTCCTTCCCCACCACCCCAGGCAAAGCGCCCGCGCTTTACACTTCAGCCCCTCCCCTCCTCTCAAGTCCTTTTCTCCTCCACCGCCGTGCATCCAATTTTTACCCAAACGGATTTCCCGCCAAGTGCACAACACCTGTGATAATAATAATTTGTCATTTGCCGCCAAGCTAGTCACGAACACTCTTTTGGACACCAGCGTGGCGCCGAAGAGATATCGGCCGCAACACCCAAATGGCGCCAGGAGCAAACTAGATTAGAGAAGGCAAAGGGTGGCGGGGGGGAGCGTATGATGAAGAGACTGAGTGATGTTGTCGGCGGCATTCATTGATTTCGCTTCACGGATTGACACGCGGCACGTAATTGTAATTGCTACGAAGCACTAATCACTAAGCGCGCCCTGGGCTCCGATACAGAATTAACCGCCAATTTCTTTCCCGCGGGCAACGCAGTGGGTAATCGGGCCAGTTAGGACAATTGGCAGATACTATCACGCTCCCCTCTTTGGCGCCACGCCCCTCCTCAAGGGTCATTCCCAAGCCGAACCGGGGTGCTTGTTGGTAGGCTGACCAGCGTGACCTGTGGGCTTGAGCAATGATAGATCATCGATCATCATCGCTCAAGCCAGCCAGAAAAAGCCCCCCAACACTCACCTCTCCTCCGATTCCTCTCCCTCGCTCGATTTCGAAACTCTGCAAATCAAACGGTTCCCAAACGGTGTGGGCTTCACCCATCAATTGTTCCGTATTGTTCCGTAACGGGCCACGGGCCATGTCACACACCTGGCCAGGCTTGTCAAAACAACAAACGACATGGAAAATCCGCATGAACAAGTCCAAGTTTGCAGCCCAGGGGCTGCGTTCATACACCCAGGTGCACCTTTCGCCATTGTACTGCTGCCCGTGCGAAGGGTGCAAAGTTGCGGGGAAGGGATTGGCGAGGGGCATGGAGCTTTGTTGGGAGGAGTGATAGAAGCGGAAAGAAAAGAGAAACTCGGGCCCTTTGGGCTGCGCTGCCCACCCCCAGCTCGTCGCCAATGTTGGCTACTGCAGGGGGGCCAGGAGCCGAAGCTCTAGGGCCACCATTTTCTTCTATTATTATTGTCTACCACCTGGGCACCAGGAACGCCGCCCTAAGGCAGCCGAAGCACTGGGACTAAGTGCACGCACGAGAGAGAGAGAGAGAGACGGGGGGGGGGGG